TAAACCCACAACTGCTGCACGGTGGATGGGAAATTTCTCAGATTTGCTGGAATCACTAGCGAGCCTGCGTTTCTTCCTGAAAATTGTCAATCACTTAACAAAAACGCTTACGGTTGCCTTTTATGGCATGTTTTCATACGAACCATTGCATCCGTTGACGGCAGTTTGGTCTTCTCTTGCAGTATGGCTTGTAACCGCGCAGTCTCCGCATGTTGCTGATAAAAGTAAGAGAAACTCTATGTAATTACCCACTATCTTGTTTGTTGAAACTTTATGGCTTTTGGCGTTTGGTGGAGGAGTTGCCTGTTGGATCACTATACTTTCCAATTTGGGTGATGATTTTCGAACCCATTTGGTCTTGTTGCCTTCCTCGACCTTTATTGAAGGTACAATGACTGTTTTTTGTCATCCATAAACTCGACAATACCAAACGTCTGTAAACAACATATACAATTTGCTCGTCATGACTAGATGAAGGTATCCAAAAGAAAACATTCTTACCTCTATTTACGCCAAGTATGAATGATAGGATTGAAAACTCAATAATCACCAAAGGGAATAAATATTCCCCTGCATTGTACGTCATCGACCTGTACACAGTAGAAGTGGTTTTGAATTTCATGACATACTAATAGTGCTGATGTCCGATGATGGCAAAGGTTTGGCGAGAAAGTTTGCCAAAGCTGTAAAGGAAGAAATTCACAGATTGCCGTCGGACATATGTCGTATTAACGATGGGCGGTTCTTTACCAAAACCGCATTATCAGGTGATCTGTCGATGTAGACAGCCCCATTGAGCACCGTCGTGTTAACCTACCGCGGTAAACGTTGACTTATTTGACTATCGGTGTCGTCCGGCAGTGTAATTGGTGTGCATAAAGTTGCATCTGCTGCTCGTTCAGACAACCGACGAAGTACCAGTCCGGCAAGTGCGCTCTTGGAAGTCATCGGTCGACGTATCATTTGCATAAACGATTTGTACGGGAATGCTGCAAATCCATCCAACGGATTGAATCATCGGACGTTAATCAGTAAATGTATCTAACTGTTCACGTTGAACACTACCTCTTCTGGACCGTAAAACCAAATGTAGTGTGGCACAATCTTGAGTTTTTCTCAAGGGAATTGAAGTAGTGATTACACCACTTTGAACTGCTCATCAGGTTTATGAATACAGAGAAGTGGATGAACTTGGTGTATATATCACCCGGCAACACCCCATATAGATCAACCGGACCCTGTTTAATAAGAGGTGACAAAACTCTGTGGCCTTCCATATTCCAAAATTTGACATAGGCCGGCAAACCCTTTTGAAATCACATGGTATCTTATCCCTCAAATCCAAGAACCGCTGATTCATAAGGTTATGCAGTGGGCCGGCTATGGTGCGACGATCCCGCACACCACCCCCTCTCTAAAGAGTAATTAACGGTTTCATTGCGCCCAAACACACCATGCATGTAATTAATTGGGAATAAGGCTTACTTACCATGGTATGCACTAAGATATAAGTTAGTATACTTTATATATATATATATATATATATATA